AAAAAAAAAAAAAAATTGAATTGGTTAACAGTGGTTATACCTGGGTTTGAAGTAAGATAATAGACAGTGAGTAAAGGGAGTTTGACCTAGAAATTTGTATTCTTCTAAATATTTGATCAAATATATGTGTGAAAGTGGAGTAGTTTTCAAGACTCTTTGCTTTTGCACATGTGATACTCCATCTGTGCTTGATGCCCTTCTACCACTCCTTTGTCTGGAAATAGTAGCTTGCTCAAGTATCTCCACTCTTTTATGACATTTTCTCCGAGTTCTTTCTCTCAGTCATCCCACTGTGATGAGCTGAAGTTTGTTCTCACCCCCCCCCGCCCCCCCAGTTCAGATGCTAAAGTCCTTACCCCTAGTAACTCAGAATGTTATCCTTTGGAAGTAAGTCTTTTAGTAATGTAAAGTGAGATCATATGAGTGGGTCCTAATTGGATGTGACTGATATACTTTTTAAAAAGAGGAGATTAGGGGATCCACTGATGTTGTAACAGTTATGTTGCTAGACTCCCACATGGCCTACAGCAGTTTGAGTCCCAGACCGGTTACTTGAAAGGCATGCTGCACAAGATCCTAAGAGGAGAATGAAGGAGAAAGGATTGTGGCATGGCCATCCTCCTAGGATGCAGGGGTGATTTCTTGCTTTCTGTCTCTCTGCTCTGTCTCTCCCAAGAGTGCATGTGCCCTCTAGGAAAATCTTACTCTAAAACAAGAGGAGATTAGGATACAGACATGTACACTCATGTAAGTAAGACCATGTGAGAAAACAGTGAGAAGGTGGCCATTTGTAAACCAAGGAGACAGGCCCTAGAACCAAACCTGCCAACACCTGTATGTTGGACTTCTAGCCTCCATAATTGTATGGAAAGCTGTTTTTGTTATTTAAGCCATGTGGTATTTGGTATTTAAGTCTATTGTGTTTTGTTATGGTGAACTAAATATACCCACAGTGCTTCGGATATACAATTCGTTAAGCATTTGCCACATCTCATTTAATGTTTGTATTTCTTGTTGTCTGCTAGATTAGAACCCTTTGGTACTGGTTTTCTATTACTGCCATGACAAATTACCACAGTTAGTGATTTCAGATAACACTAATATATTGTTTTAGAGTTGTCCTATAGATGATAAGTCTAGTACTCATGGGACCAGCAGATGGCATAGTGGCTACGTCGCTGGGCTGCCAGATAGTTGACCACAGTTCGAGGCCTGGACCTGGTGGCTTAAACTTACGCTGCACATGTGAGCGTGCATGCCCAAGATTCCAAGAGGAGAATGGAGGAGTTGTAGCGTGGCAATCCCCCCGAAGGGGTGATTTTTCGCTTTCTGTCTCTCTGTCTTTCTGGCGAGCGCACACACCCAACAGAAAAACCTCTCAAAAAAAAAAAAAAAAAAAAAAAAAAAAAAAAAGAAAGAAAGAAAAAAAGATGTCTGGTACTCATCTCACCTACCTAAAGTCAAGGTGTTTGTAATTTTTTAAAGAATTATTTTATTTAACTTTACTTATTTATTTATTTTTAAATTTGACTAGAGAGGGACACAGTGAGAAAGAGAGGGGGGAGAGAGAGAGAGAGAGACAGAAAGCAAGTCACCAGGAGGTCTGGGACTCAAACTGTGGGCAGCCATGTGGGAGTCCAGCACCCTTAACCATCATGCCACCTGCCAGCCCCGGTGTTTGCATTTGTCTGCAGGCTCTTAGGGAGACGCTTCCTTGCTCACGCAGGTGTTTGCAGGATCCAGTTCCATATGATTATAGGACCAAAGTCTGTTTTTCTTCAGGCAGTCAGCTGGAGACTGCTTTCGGCTCCTAAGTCGTTTCTAGTCATGCTAGATAACACAATTTACTAAAATTGATTATAATTGCCTCTTTAGATTAGTCATTGGTAGACTGATTAATAGCTAAATTTCTAGCCATTGTGATTCAGATCTATTCAAAACATTTATTAAATGCCATTTATATGTCTGCTTTAATATTAAAAACAACCAACTTTTAGGTACTGGACATGGTGCGGGATCTTCTACATGAAGTTTTGTGGAAATATATTTTTACCTTCCTCCTTTTTTTATTTCCCCCATTTCTTTCCTTCCTTTTTCTCTCCCACAACTCCTAGGCTCTCTTTCTTTATTCTGTATCTTACTCACATATTCATAGGAAGAAAATAATAGACTTACCAATGACTAATCTAGAGAGGGCATTACATCAATTTCAGTAAATTGCGTTATCTGGCATGGTTGGAAACAAAATACTTTGATTAGTCAATTTTTCTGTGTAGGTTATAGACTTTAAAATTCTGCCTAATTTTGAAAGCACTAGAATAAAATAAAATACTCTTCAAAATAATTTCACTTTTTGATGACTAATAAAATCTTGAAGATGAATCATAACTACTTTTATGTATGTAATGATAATCTGATCTATATTATCACATGTATAGGATTATGTCACCAACTAAAAGGACTGTTTTAAAAGAAAAACTTTTTTAGAATATGCTAGATAAATCAAACTATACCTTATCTTCTTTGGAAAAATTGTCTATTTTACAAATGTCATTCGACTTTAGAGATGTCCCAGTCATTTCTATGTTTAGGTATTATCTCTCTAGCAAAAAGTTTGGGGGGTAAATGAAATTTTGTTATGCACTATTTTCAGAGCATACTGATGAGAAGATAATCTATTTTAGCCATCTTGGTTGGGTTTTATGGGGATATCCTTGAATAAAATGCAAAGGACTTACTCAGCAGCAGATAATTACCAGAGTGGGATGGTTCACAGAACATCTGAGAAAACATGACGTCCTTGATGGAAACTTTGCTGTATTTCTCAGCAAGACTGGGATTATAATCATAAAGTTGCTTTACTGACAGTTGTAGAGTTTCTTCAGCTACCTACATGGTCAAGATCTCTTAGTAGGGTTGTAAGTACATAAGTTTTTTTGTCAATAGTTGTTTTCATGACAGACAATCTAAAAACCTTCACTTTAAGACAAGTCCTGCAGCTATATATTTATTAGTAAGCTTTCTTTCTATGTTTTCTTTCTGTCCTTAAATCTGAGAGAAACAGTGTTAAGCTTCTTAAGTTAATATTCCAGTTCCAACCACACTACATCAGTATACCTTAAGTGCTCCGCTGCTATGGTAACCTAGAATTCTGAGACACATAGATGATATTTATCACACTCGGTTTCTCCCTTTTTGTACAAGAGTGTGTGTTGTGCAGTCTCCTAAGAGTAGGGGTGGTGAGGGTAAGCCAGAGGTGAGAATAGGAGGACTGGGGGTAGGTTTCTGATTTCAATTTCCTCAGTTCTCACTTCTCCAAATTGACTTTTTCTGTTTTGAAGCACTTTTCTTAGTGCCATAAAGATGGATCTCAATTATCTTGGATAATTGAGTTCAGAGTAAGAAAAAAATGAAACCCACTGGTAATCAAAACACTAATTTAATTACAACTTTCAATTTTCCCTCCCAACAATATTTAACAAATTGGCTGGAAAGAATCTAAATGAAAGTGTTTCCTTATCTCATCATCACTCTTCCTTTTTTTTCAGTTTCTAATAAAAGTACCAAAGAAATCATAATAAGGAAGAAGGAATTTTATGCTTATTTCTCAAATTAAATATTAACTTCTAAACTGCCTAGATTGAGAACAAGTCAAATAAATTTTCTACACTAAAATAAATGTGCATCACACAGTAATTTATTTTAATAACATATTTTCCTGTCACAACATAGTTCTTTGTATTATGCATTTTGTTCTCATCCCTTTGGGTATGTGTGTCTTAGTTGGGAGTTGATGATACTAGTACATAGTAGGACAGGACATATATAGGGACTTAAACAACATCATGGAAAAAGCTATTAAAGCATAAGTTTATTTTGGTGCAAAATTTTTTGAAACCCATCTGTAGTTTTTTCATAATATATACTTCCTATGATGTTTTCACAGACTTCTCATGGTATGACTCCTAATGTCCTAACCTAACAGCATTTTCTTGCTCTTAAATTTTTAATCTGGGGGCCAGCAGGTGGCATGGTGGTTAAGGGACTGGACTCCCACATGGCTGATCATGATTCAATCCTGGACCTGGTGGCTTGCTTTCTCACTTTTCCTCTCTCTTTTTCTGGTCAAAATAAATAATAATAATAATAATAAAATTACATAAAATAATTCTAAAAAAATTATCTGGATGAAACATCCTCAATATTTTTATATGATAAAAAAATGGAATCATGATTTATATTCCAATTTTGTTGTTGGTTTCATGTGTCATGTTCTACTATGGTGCCAATAGTTACAATGTGGTTTCTTTGTTAGATGGGGGCCTAATATTGAGTTGTTTTCTTCTATATCTTTCTAAATTTATATTTAATGTTACATATAGCAAATAGGCAATAAGCTCCATGTCATACTCATAGTGACTGACAATAACTTAGTTTATTATTTTTTCATTTCTTTTTAAAACTGTAAAAGATTTACTATATTCCTAAAGGTGTAATTTCTATAATTGCAAAATAAAAGCAAAAGCATAAACTCTATAGTTCTTAGAGAAATATTAGTAACCTGTTTATCAAAACATCTTTGGAGAGTTATATTGCTACTGTAGAATGTATTTGTCCTTAGGAAACTGAATTTCATTTTTAAAACTTTCTCTAGTAACAATGGTCTGTCTGTACTCTGAAAAGAATACTACATAGGTAGAAAATGTTCCTCATTACCAGGTTTCCTTTACACTCAGATATTTTAAAAAAGATATTTTTTTATTCCTTCATATTTTTCAGATGCTTTCTCTTTTCACAAATATTGATTGATTGATATGTGTGAATATTAATCATAAAAAACCTGTCTTCAAAGAAATTATACATTGATGTGTGAGAATATTAATAATATAAACCCTGTTTTTAAAAAGTGATATATTGAATATGATGTCACATATGTAATTCCATATTATTACATTAAACAGAAGAGGGTATCGACAAAATGCTATGGAAATGTAAATAAATAGGAACTTATTTCTAGGTGGAGATTAGAGATTTCAATGAAGGAGGTGAATTAATCAAAATTAATAAGCACCTACTTTATGAATTGGTAAAAAATTATTAATGAGAACTAGTAATGAATTCTGAACTAGTAATCCAATTCTTCCCCTTACAATTTGATGGGAGCCTCCAGTTGACTTGGGTTTTGAAAATGAAGTAGGACCTAGAAGCAGAGAGAGAAAAATGGCCAGTCCTGTGGCGTGGTGGTTAAGAGAGCTGGATCCCACATGGCCGACTATGTGGTTTAAATTTCCAGTTTTGACTGCTTGAAATTCAAGCTGAGCAGTGTGTGTATCATATCAAATTCTGATATGATAGAGAAATGGGGAGAAGGGACTGTGTCATAAAAATGCCCTATTGTGAAAAAAATATGGAAATAAAGCAGAAACAATGCTATTATTATTTGTTTTAGTCACACTGATGAAATTGACTTCTATCTGGTACTGGCAAACTTAAAACTTAATTTCTCTGGGAAAATGAAGTTCCAAATAAGCATATTATAACAAACTTTTGGAAAATACTTATAAACAGTGGACTGCATATATATGTCAAGAAAAATATGCTTTGGTAAATTTAAATGTACTTATATGGTATTTCTCTCAGATTAAAAATAAACAAACCTTGAGCAACAGTGAAATGTCTAAATATAAACCATGAGGATCTTCTTTCAGCCCTGAAAAAATCTTGTATTCAATAGGTAAAGACGACAATGACATTTATTTATTGTGATAGTTATTTTAGCAGCCTCAAGGTTGATGTAGCACTGTTTTTTTAGATTTTATTTTCCTATGTATGACTCAATATATTTTTCTTTTTTGAGTCTCACATGGAGCTCTAAAGGATGAATAACCCATGTAGAAGGTATTTATAATTTCTTCCTTTAAAACAATTATTTTAATCAATTATTAAAAGCTGACAATCAACATTGATTATCTGAAAATGAAATTGGAAAATTAAGAACTTGGTAGATACAGAGGCAATTTATGTTTTGAGGGAGGAGATTAGTATAAATTAAGGAGAAAGTTAAAGGATTAAAAAAGGCTCTGAGGCTTATCTGTAATTTTAATAAATCTTCAAGATTTAGACGGGGATTCTAAAATGTGGGATAGATGTGAGGAGTAATGTGAGCTGGACTATTAGTAGTGGCAAGTTAATGTCGACACTAGTGCAGCCAGAGTTGTTAGCAAGACCAGAAAGGATTCAATGGCCAATAAGATCATGAGTCATGTGTGGATGAAGTCAAGCATGAATTTGTATACCAAGAGGATTGAGACTAATGTTGGGGGTTCAAAGGGCTCAGAGAAAAGGGTTTAGCTTGAAGACATTTGTAGAAACTTAGAAACTTGGGAGTTTGAGGGAAACTATATCCAACATAACGTAATTTCACAAAAGAGTATGAAGTCAGGAAGACAAGGTAGAGTTGCAATAGCAATACAGTAAAAGGAATGATGGTAGCAATGAGACATATGGACCAGTAAACAAATACATTAATGGGAATGAAATGAAAAAATTAATGAATGTAATTTTTTAATGTAATGAAAAAATTAATCCCTTGAAAGTACAGTAAAGGTAGCAAGCACTATATAGAATATATGGTAAACATTAGACAAATAATATTTGATATTGAATCTGAAATTCAAAGGGATTCCAGCAATTCCAACTTGCCAGGACTACTGTCATATTAAATAAAAGGATATAGAGAAAATTATTAAAGAATCAGGACAGAGACTTTGTTTCTAGCAACAGCTACTTAGAAGACCTATAACATTATGAGAATAACTTGATATTAAAATGATTTGGAGTAACCGTTTAATAAGGTTCATTTGTGACATTATTATATAATATTGCATATAAAAATATTTCACCTTTGGGGCCGGCAGATGGCAAAGTGATTAGGGGTGTTGGACTCCCACATGGTCAACAGCAGTTCGAGTCCCGGACCTGGCAGCTTGCTTTCTCACTTTCTCTCTCTCTCTCTGCTCTCTCTGTCCTTCTCTGGTCAAATTAAAAGATAAATAAATAGATAAAGTTAAATTAAAAATAATTCTTAAAGAAGTTTTTTCACCCTTTATCCCTGTATTTTTTTTTCCCACACTAACAACTTTCCAAAGTCTACTTTGAATAACTTTATGTGTTTAAAATTAGATTGTCCTAAAACAGATACACTGAACCATTGATTGATTCATTATTTCAATCAGGATTATTTATTAAGTGCCTTTATTTATATATAGTTTGCCAGAGGGCATGTGACAAGGAAGGAAAGTGAGAAAGCAACCCTATAGGGAATGGTCACTCTGCAATCTGTTCTCTATCTTTCTCTCCTTTCAGGATGCTGGGCATGCATGCATATGTGCCTGGTGTTTCTCAATCTGCTGGATCTGGGGCTCACCTTGTGAGATCCACTGCCTTAACCACCATCTGACTGTGAAGTACCTTTTAAGTGTAAAACGTTGTAAAATTTGTCTCTGCCCTGGACTTGTTTACAGAGAGGGAAACTCAATCTTAGAAACAGATAACTGACAATATATATCCTGAGAGATATGGAAGGATGGAAGGAGCAACTAACTGTTCCTGAAAAAAGATACCTAATGTAGGAGTTGGAGTTTGCAAGGTAAAGATGATGGGGCAGGACATTCAGGGCACTGGAGAATTAGTTTACATGGGATATGGAGTTGTAAAAGATAATGGTGGCATTATCTTTTCCTCAAAAACCTAGGTCTAGGCAGGAGAAAACAGAGACAGGTACTGCGATTTTTTAAGTAAAAAAAAATGTATATAAGGGCAATGGGGATAGAAAAGAGAAGTCAGATTCAATAGTGTTTTGGGGGGATACCTTTAAAATAAACTTAGCAGTGTTTTTGTTTGTTGTTTTTAAATCTGCTTGGCTATGGGAAGTGAATAGTTTGGAAATATCTGCTCTGAAAAACAGATTCAGTGGTAATGTAAATGAAGCTCGAGACTGTCAGAGGCTGTTCAAGGTAGAAGGCATGGCTTTGCCTCTTTAGGCCAATAA